TCGACCTCCTGGGCTCAAGGAATTCTCTCATCTCAGCTTCCTGCACACCCAGCCTAGTCTTTATTTCTGATCTTGAAGAAGACAACCGAACTTTTCCAGGAACGTATTACTATGTCTCTACTTTTGCATTTCTGGGCTCGTGAGCATGAAAGAATCGGATATGCTCACTGTGGTAAGAAGTTTTGTTTTTGATGTTCTCTTATCTGCATGTCATGTTACCCTGATTAGAGCCCAAAAGCTGCTATTGCAATTTTCATCTATTTCTGTGTGTGCACAGGAGAGTAATGCCTTTTCTGCCTTTTGCATATCTTTTCAGCTGTATCACCTTTTATGATCTGGCCTAAAAAGTCACATAGCTCACTTCTACCATAATCTTTTTTTTTTCTTTCTTTCTTTTTATTTTTTGAGACGGTATCTCACTCTGTTGCCCAGGTTGGAGTGCAGTGACAATCTTGGTTCACTGCAACCTCCGCCTCCCCAGTTCAAGCAATTCTCTTGTTTCAGCCTCCTGAGTAGCTGGGACTACAGGTGCACGTCATGAGGCCTGGCTAATTTTTGTATATTTAGTAGAGACGGAGTTTCACCATATTGGACAGGCTGTTCTTGAACTCCTGGCCTCAGGTGATCCATCTGCCTTGGCCTCCCGAAGTACTGGGATTACAGGCAAGAGCACTGCACTCAACCTGCTTTTTCTGAACTCCCCACCATTGATGGCATATTGAAAGGACAGCTAGAGTCACAAACCACAGGTCAACACAGCCAGATGGTGGCATGGAGCTCCAGGACCTCACCACTGTTCCTTACCCCATGGATAACCTCATGAGCTGGCTTGCATCCTTGACTAGGCTCCAAAAGTGCGGAACAGAAAGCTTCATTTTGCCCTGACACAACTCTTGCCTTTCCGGGCTCCTTGATTTGCTCCCTTAAAATAGGGAAGGAGAGATGATGTATTCTAGCAGGCTACTTTTCTGCCATTCTTTGTCTAAAATGAAAAATGTATGTGTGCATGCTTGTATGATGTCAGGATTGTGGACAGCTTTAGTTTCAATTTCAATATTGAGATATAGAGTGTTGGACTAATACCTCAACATTTTGTGACTGTCATATATCACAAGCATATACTTAAACTATGTGGCTTGAATCTCATCCTTTAGTGTAATGGTCTGTGTGTCTTCCAAACCTTTGAAATCAAACTCATGTTTAATACTAAACACGATGAAGCCTTCCTACAGCAAACTCATCTTAAAGAAACTGGGGTTATTTATGCACAGAAAGTGAAGACTTCAGCAGATTTGCTCCTTGTCAAATATGTATTGTATCTTTCTAAATAGATAACAGTACCACCAGTAACTCCTGTAATAAAGAGTAACTGTAATATGATCAGTGCATAGAGAAATGAAGCACTGGCATTCTTATTTCAAATTCCTATTTATTTCTCACTGATACAAGTGAGCAAAAATATACTTATTTCTTCCCAAAATTACTGGAATGTTTTCCTTTTTAATGCTTTTTTTTTTTTTTTTTGCAAGATAAAGATATTTTCTCTGACCTTCATATGCTGAAATGGGAGAAAACTGATGATTCTCAATCAGCAGGGCCATGCCTCTGTAGCAGGGAGGGGGAGAAGAGGGCATCTCAGAAATTCTTAGAAGTGAAGTTTAATAATCATATCGACACTCTATTTTTATCCTAATAAGACAAAACAAAACCCTCCTAATGTGTTAATAACACAAATTACAGCAACCCAAACTTGATACAATCATGGCCAGGGAAGGTATGCAGAAAAAGGCTGTGGTAGGCATCTTCAGTGGCTTTCCTATTTCCTCACTAAAAGATCCTTGATATTGTTCAGTGGCAACATCCCAAGGCAGAATCACAATTGGTCTGAAACTATCATGACATCTTCCCAGCCTCCCTTGCAGGGAGAAGTGACTATATGACCCAGTTCTGATGGGAAATAAGGATAGAGAGGTACACAGAAGCCAGATCAGAGAAAGCCTTGGAGGCCACATTATTTGAACTTTATCCTTATTCTACCCTATATCCATTCTAAATACTGTTGATATCCCCCATCTTAAAAAGAGAAAACCAAGACTTTAAATGGCTTGACTGAAGTCATAGCTACTGAGCGGATGAACTGTAATTTGAACCTGGGTTTTGTTTTTATTTGTATTTTTTGTAGTGTGTGGGAGCCAAAGAATTGTCCAGTCATCACCAAGTGAGTGCAAGCTAGTTAGAAATAAAGAAATAATGAGAGCTTACTGAGTCTGTAGAGAATGGCTAATATAACAATATATTTTAAGGATTGAGATAGTTGGCTGGGCGTGGTGGCTCACACCTCTAATTCCAGCACTTTGGGAGGCCAAGGCTGGTGTATCACTAGGCCAGGAGATAGAGACCATCCTGAAACCCCGTCTCTACCAAAAATTCAAAAATTAGGCAGGTGTGGTGGCATGCACCTGTAACCCAGCTACTCAGGAGGCTGAGGCGGGAGAATTGCTTGAACCCAGTAGGCAGAGGTTGCAGTGAGCCGAGATCATGCCACCAAACTCCAGCCTGGCCACAGAGTGAGACTGTCTCAAAGTCGGCTTCATCCCTGGGATGCAAGGCTGGTTCAACACACACAAATAAATAAACGTAATCCATCACATAAACAGAACCAACGACAAAAACCACGATTATCTCAATAGATGCAGAAAAGGCCTTCAACAAAATTCAACAGCCCTTCATGCTAAAAACACTCAATAAACTAGGTATTGATGGAACGTATCTCAACATAATAAGGGCTATTTATGACAGACCCACAGCCAATATCATACTGAATAGGCAAAAACTGGAAGCATTCCCTTTGAAAACCTGCACAAGACAAGGATGCCCTCTCTCACCACTCCTATTCAACGTAGTGTTGGAAGTTCTGGCCAGGGCAATCAGGCAAGAGAAAGAAATAAAGGGTATTCAATTAGGAAATGAGGAAGTCAAATTGTCCCTGTTAGTAGATGACATGATTGTATGTTTAGAAAACCCCATCGTCTCAGCCCAAAATCTCCTTAAGCTGATAAGCAACTTCAGCAAAGTCTCAGGATACAAAATCAATGTGCAAAAGTCACTAGCATTCCTATACACCAATAACAGACAGAGAGCCAAGTCATATGTGAATTCCCATTCACAATTGCTACAAAGAGAAAAAAATACCTAGGAATGCAACTTACAGGGATGTGAAGGACCTCTTCAAGGAGAACTACAAACCACTGCTCAATGAAATAAAAGAAGACACAAATGGAAGAACATTCCATGCTCATTGATAGGAAGAATCATTATAGTAAAAATGGCCATACTGCCCAAGATAATTTATAGATTCATTGCTATCCCCATCAAGCTACCAATGACTTTCTTCACAAAATTGGAAAAAACTACTTTAAAGTTCATGTGGAACCAAAACAGAGCCTGCATTGCCAAGACAATCCTAAGCAAAAGGAAAAAAGCTGGAGGCATCATGCTACCTGACTTCAAACTATTCTGCAAAGTTACAGTAACCAAAACAGCATGGTACTGGTACCAAAACAGAGATATAGACCAATGGAACAGAACAGAAGCCTCAGAAATAACACTACACATCTACAACCATCTGATCTTTGACAAACCTGACAAAAACAAGAAATGGGGAAAGGATTCCCTATTTAATAAATGGTGCTGGGAAAATTGGCTAGCCATGTGTAGAATGCTGAAACTGGATCCCTTCCTTACACCTTACACAAAAATTAATTCAAGATGGTTTAAAGACTTAAATGTTAGACCTGAAACCATAAAAACCGTAGAAGAAAACCTAGGCAATACCATTCAGGACATAGGCATGGGCAAGGACTTCATGACTAAAACACCAAAAGCAATGGCAACAAAAGCCAAAATAGATAAATGGGATCTAACTAAACTAAAGAGCTTCTGCACGGCAAAAGAAATTACCATCAGAGTGAACAGGCAACCTACAGAATGGGAGAAAATTTTTGCAATCTACCCATCTGACAAAGGGCTAATATCCAGATCTACAAAGAACTCAAAGAAATTTACAAGAAAAAAACCACCCCGTCAAAAAGTGGGCAAAGGATATGAACAGATACTTCTCAAAAGAAGACATCTATGCAGCCAAGACGTGAAAAAATGCTCATCATCACTGGTCATCAGAGAAATGCAAATCAAAACCACAATGAGATACCATCTCACACCAGTTAGAATGGTGATTGTTAAAAAGTCAGGAAACAGCAGATGCTGGAGAGGATGTGGAGAAATAGGAATGCTTTTACACTGTTGGTGGGAGGGTAAACTAGTTCAAC